AAAAAACCTTCATTCTGATCGCTAGGTTTTGGGTACGAAAATCGAGACTTCAAAAAACAGCCAAAAATCAAGAAATTCAGAAGGACAAGTGCTGTAAATACCAGCATTTTTGGGTGCGAGATTGATGAACAATGTTCGAAAAGCTACCAAAAATACACACGAAACCAGGAACAGTTGCCACTTTCGAAAACTACGGCAAAAAAGTGCTGTAAAACACAGCATTTCCGACCATAACAAGGCCAAAAAATAAGAGGTGTGGGTGCCGCACCGGGGGGGGACGGCCTACTACTACTACTACTACTACTACTCCTGCTGCTGCTGCGGCTGTTATTGCTGCTGCTGCTGGTCCTGCTGCTGCTGCTGCTACTACTCCTGCTGCTACTGTTACTGCCGCTGCTGCTGCTGCTACTACTACTACTGCTGCTGCTGCTGCTGCTACTACTACTACTACTGCTGCTGCTTCTGCTTCTGCTTCCGCTTCTGCTACTACTGCTATCACTACGCCAGGTGCAGGAAAGTAATGCTGGGTGTTAAAGTGCCGAAGGGGCATTAAGTACTTCAAGGTTGAAGGGCGTTGTGCGGCAGGATTCATGGTTTAGGGCTTAGTAGGTGATCGTGTCTCCAAGGAGACGCACTCTGGCATTAAGGTTTCTAAACTGTTACAGGTCCTATATGGCCTTTTGGGCGATGTAGGACGTACTACAACGGACCCCGACGAGACGTGCCAGAATCCGACTTCAATGATATGTATGTACTTTGGTTTATTGTGTGTAGGGTCTGTGATCAGGGTTTTCTGAACGTCAGGCAAGGCAGTCCTCCTGAAGTATGTGATGCAACAACACCATCGTATTCCCGATGAGGCTTGCTGCGTATTTGCTGCCTTGGTTCGTGTCATCGTCATCACACTATCCGACTCCGACTTTTAACATGCAGCTTAACTTAGTCTCGATCGTTAGCCCAGCAGGCCGTCATGCGGCGTAGAAGATGGCTGCGGCTGCAGAGCTTTACAATACATGATACCATGACTACCTAAAGTGCTCTTATGTTACAACACGTTATGTTACAACACCAGTGTTACCTTAAGTTATCCTGAAGAGCCTCATATTATGTTACACTGAAACAAGTTCTGTCGCCCAGGTCTTCTCTTGGCCATCTACCGCGTGGATGACGATGAGGGTCCTGATGAGCCGGCTACCGGAGAAATGTGAACCCAGAGAGCTCTTAGGGTTTTAGGGTTTAGGGTTTTAGGGTTTAGGGCTTTAGGGTTTTAGGGTTTTATGGTTTAGGGTTTTAGGGTTTAGGGTTTAGGGTGGAGGCTATTGTTTCCGAGCAGTGTGGGAGCACTACTTCAAGGATCAGGGGACTTAGTAAGTTCGGGTAACTTGTTGGATTTAGGGTTACGGCAGAGTTGGAAGCAGAAAGCAAGCAGTATAGAGGCTTAAAAAAATTACCTATGATATTTTGGGGGTTCCTTATTGTAATTATAAAATCCGGTACTTTCACTTCAGAAGTCTGCTCCTGTCACAGTGCGCTGCTAATCGTGCTCCCGCGTCCCGTGCACACGTTTGTTTGCAAGTTATTCCTTATTCTAATTGCAGCACAATATATCCCAAAACCCTATTCTAATCATTGAGGCCCCTATAGTAATCCTACTCCTTATTATGACTATAGTATAATAGACCCTAAACCCTATTCTAATCATTAAGGCTCCTATGTTATCTGAGGTTCCTGAAGGTCTGGCAGGGCCGCCCCCGATTCGCCTCAGGGGGCCCTTGGGCGCCTCTTGTGTCGTTCTCGACACACTTAAATTATAGGGGCCTTAATAGTTACCTGTACTATTATTGGGGTTCCTTATTATGAAAACTGTAGCATAAACTTAGTATAAACATTATGTGGATCTTTAGAGGTTTGGGGTGCTGTTGGAGTGGGTGTGGCCCTGGTTCCTTTCGGTGGTCTGTCACTGCTTGGTTTTTGTGCTGGCGCGGTAGGCTTTGTATCTCGATTTCTACAAGGTTGCCCCAGGCTTTTACCCTAAACCGCTGAACCCTAAACCCCTAAACCCCTAAACCCTGAACTGTGGTTCTATTCCCCAAGGTAAACCGCACTCAGGACACTGCACTTTACTACCCGGCCGGGCTCGTCCGTCTGCACGTGGTGGTTTCGATCTTTGGGATGCTGCCTTTAAGCTCGAAGCGCCTAGAGCTGTAGAAGGGCTCAATTTCTTTTTGTAGTTTTTTGGGGACTTTGAGTGAAACCCTTAAAGGAACCTGTCTCGCTGTTTGTGCGTCGACGTTCTTCTTGTTCGAATGCTCTCGGCACATAGTCCTGGAGTGGGTCGGTGTTAAGAGGTAGTGGGCTCTCTGGGCTTTTGTCCGGCAGAAGAATGCCCTCGAGCGTTTCAGCGCTGGCGAGAGAAAAAGGGGCTGTGAGTGTGAGTCTATAAAGGTTCGTTTAAGTGCTCCGAAAATTAGAAATATGACCCCGATATAGTTCCAATTTAAATGTAGTATATCTGCAGCCAGGTCATCTGGGAGGTGGGGTCTGATTTGATTCATCGGAACTGCCGGATCCAGAACTTTGTGGCTTTCATTTCGGTTGACAAAGAGGGCCCCGGGCTCCATTGGGGTTCATGCGGCAAAAATAGCTCTACCTCGGTGGAAAGATTTGTGAAGCCTCGACACAGCAAGTGTTCGTGAGGCCGGGAGCATCCTTGTGTCGTGATCCTGCACAGCTTACAGTCAGGCGATAGCTCGGAGCATAACACAAGAGATTGAGCCCCTACAACATACAAGCCTGCATCATGACTCGTACTAATCCTTGGTTCCTACTATGTTTCTGGTTTCTATACCCAAGACCTTTATCGAATTGTTCAGGCCCCTCGATTATGCGCAGCCTGTACTGGTAGAGCAGCAGTGCAAAAACTCCAGGTCACCGACACCAAACGCCTGTAACCTCCCTACATCTTATGGCCCCGTGCGGGCCCTAGAAATCCTACGTTTTCCAGTATACAAATCCTTCAAACGGTTGGTTAATGTGGGGTAGGGGTCTTGCTTAACTCTTACAGGGAGGGGCTGAGGCCTTGATCTTGTGGAAAGTCAAGAACCCCAGTACCCGGACACCCCAAAGCTTGATTGAGCATCAATTCTTGGAGGTTCACGGCTAGTTAAAAGTAAGGGTAAAAGTAGGATAACTATACTTATAACTTATAACCTATATTTGGAGACTTCTAATCCACTTATAGCGACCCATGAACCTCCAAATATCAAACGCGAATTGATGTCTCCCTTCAGGCATTCAAAGCCCCTTGACAGTCCTGTTCCCTCTGACTGGCTCCCTTGGCTCGCCGGTTTTGGCGAGCCCGGGCCTTGTCTAAAACCAAAGACCCTTAAGCCTAAGTCACGACACATGCAGTCAGTGCCATCTGCAGGTCGCCGAAGCCGTGGACGAGAGGCGAGTGGAAATCTTTTCATCTGGTTTTTTGTCAGGAGATAACATTTAGAGCAGTTTTGAGGGACGGCTAGGTTTGTGAAAGCACCAGACGCCAGTGACTAAGCGGGCACTCAAGACAAAGAGTGGCTAAAGGAACGACAAAACCCTCGCCCCAAGCATAGCTTGGTGCGAGAGGAAAGCTACCTGTGTTCGTGTCGGTGGTTTCTCGTAAATGACAGCCCTGGCTCTTGTCTGAGTTTTGATATTGATGCTTTGTACGGATGTTGGCATCATCGGTTCTGAAGCAGGTCAAACACCCGACCAGATGCAAGTGCTTCTGCAATAGCGGATACGGGTGGCGGGTGTCTTTCGTCCTGGAACGTCAGCATAAACCATCATCAAGTGGCACAGGTTGAGATTATGCCCGTACTGCAGAGTGCCTGACCACGGTGCTGACAGCATACTAAGGTACGGTTTCAGATAGACTAGACTCTACTGGGGAACAGAAGGAAGAGCCCTAAACCGTCGCCCGAAACCTGCGAAAGCTTCAAAGCTTCACTCCCTAAAACTTTGAAGTCTGACCATGATGAACTGTAGCCCCAGCAACAATCATTGAGGACCCTATACTCAAGACACGTAAAGACCCGGATAACACCAATAGCAAAATCGACAGTAAAGCTTTAGCAAACCCTTATCGAGCCCTTATGAATTATGAAACCCTTAAGAGAATTCCTGAAAAAAGACTCTACATACGCGACATAATCAAACCCTCGTTGGGGTTATAAGTTTGTGTAGCTTACTTTTCACCCTACCCCCTAATCCCCCTGCTTTTATTCGGCCCTTTTGAAATCGTTATAAGAGCTTTCGTAGTTACAGCACGGGCAAAAAAAAGAAACGATACATCCTATATCAAACAAAACATAACACACCCTATAGTCCGCTATGCAACCTATAGTAGCCCTCTCAAGCCCTAAACCCGAGACGACCCTGAACCCTAGTCTGGAAACCTGATTAAGAAAGCCTGGCCCTACAACCCCGAAATATTAGGATTCATGTAGAGAACTGTACTGAAAATCCACGGTTTCTTAAGCCTTGAGCCCTGATGCAACCCATAGTAACCCCGAAACCCTAAACCCCTAAACCCTAGACGAAACCCTAAACCCTAAGCACTCCGAAAGTCCTGGTCGAGGACTCTCCGCCCCGGCATTCGCAGGCTGCAGCCGGCCATTTCGAAGGCCCCGGCGGCGGAGTTCAGGGCTTCTCGGAACGAGAGTAGCAGTAGTGGTGGTAGTAGTAGCAGTTGTCGTAGTCGTAGTCGTAGTCGTAGTGGTAGTGGTGGTAGTAGTGGTAGTACTACTACTACTACTACTACTACTACTACTACTAGTAGTAGTAGTAGTAGTAGTAGTAATAGTAGCAGTAGTAGTAATAGTAGTAGTAGTAGTAGTAGTAGTAGTAGTAGTTGTTGTTGTTCTAATGGTGGCGTAGTCGTAGTCGTAGTGGTAGTGGTGGTAGTAGTGGTAGTAGTGGTAGTACAACA